CTGGAGCCCAGCAGGTCAAGGCTGCGGTGGCCGGGAGTGGCCACTGAACTCCAGTCCGGTAGACAGAGTGAGACTCCAACACAAAAAAAAAAAAAAAAGAATCTTGGCCTGAAACCAAGAGCCAGGGGATTATCAGGATTCTGAGGTCCCATCCAGCTCTGACATTCTAAGAATTCTGAGAAGGAAAAATGCTGGACTTAGGCCGAGAGGAGTAGCTTGAAGGGCTTTGATGGCGAAAAGGGAGAGTTTGTATCAGCCAGTACCTTAAGCTCAGGTCCCCAGGAAACTGGTGATACAGACAGGGGGAGGACTGGTTACTATCTCTAGTAAATGTGGGACAGTCCACACTAGACCTCAAGCATGGAAGAGGACAGATAATCCCATAGTCATCAGTATCACTGTGAGCCCAGGTGATGAGAATCGAGCCCAGCACCTGGGGTTCAGTTGGTGCTGGGTATGCTTGGGTATACTGCCAGTTTGTGAGTGAGCTTTGGGTGGGCGGAAGAGGGGTGAGGATAGAGTCTACTGTGAACTCAGGTGGATGAAGAAGAAAGCATAACTGAGAAGACAAAGACACATGGAAAACACTTGGAGACAATTGATTCTCTGGGGACCAAGTCTCACACAGAGCAAGTGAGGTGCACCACACTCCTCCTGGAATAGACACTAAACTCTGCTTCCATAGTCAAAGAAGGGAGGGGCTGAGGGGACGAGTTCTAAGGGCAGCCAACAACCTCATTATCCTTTAATTCACCTTTAATTAACTAATGCTTTTAACTCAATGGATGCTGGAGAAGCTCCATGGATGCTTGATCAACAATCACCAGTCATTCAACAAAAATTAAATGCCAACCGTGTGCCAGGCCCTGTGTTAAAAATAGAGATGAGCCAGACTCCGTGCCTCAGCCTGTAATCCCAGCACTTTGAGAGGCCGAGGTGAGTTGATTGCCTGAGCCCGTGGGTTCGAGACCCGCCTGGGCAACTTGTTGAGACCTCATCTCTACAATAAATCAAAAATTAGTCAGGCGTACTAGCGCGCACCTGTAGTTCCAAGCTACTTGGAAGGCTGAGGCGGAAGCATCGCCAGAGCCCAGCAGGTCGAGGCTGAGGTGGCCGGGAGCGGCCACCGCACTCCAGTCTGGGTGACTGAGTGAGACTCCAACTCAAAAAAAAAAAAATGGAGATGAAATAGTAGAGAAACATGATCCCTACCTTTAGGGAGTTTACACTGCAGATTCAGTAAGAAGTTATCATAAAGAGAAAATGTGACAAAGAACATATAGGCTTCTACGTAAGCATGCAGTGAAGGCATTGACCCTAGTATAGGAGTCAGGGGGGAAGGTGATATGTGAACTGATAACCTGAAGGATGAGCAAAACTTGGCAAAACAGAGCCAGCAGCAGGTGCAGAGGCGAGAAAAATAGACAGTCAGCATGGACAAAGGACACACACATGCATGCAGTGAATTCAAGGAACTTCTGGAAGTTCTGTAAGACTACAGCATAGTTTGTAAGGGAGAGAGTGATGGCAAGGTAGACTGGAGAGGTAGACAGAGACCAAATCATGGAGGGAATTTATATCAGTAAGAATGTGTCACAAGTAATAGTAAATTCAAAGTGACTAAACAATAAAATAAGTTATTGACTCATGCAATTGAAAAATCCAGAAGCAGGTGGGTTGCCTAGGGGTGGCTTAATTCAGCAGCTCAATCGTGTCACCAAAGACCT